CATTAGGTGTGTCTGTGTATCCATGTGTGTGTCTGTATGTGTATCTGTTTGTTTGTATGTGTATTTGCATGTGTGTATTTCACAAAGGCCCTGTGCTTTCTAGTTATGCCTCTGGATACAAGTGATCTGCACCTGGCAGCAGTGGGTGCAAACTGGAAGGCAGACTGTTCCCCCCTCCCCAGCATTAAGGTTCACTGGGCCAGGGATGGAGATCTATGAAAGAATGCTAATCCAGAACTTATTTGGAGATCTTTATGCTGACATGACTAATACAGATAATATACTATATTTAGTTTTAACTGTGCATTATACATTAGAGTAAGTGAAAAATACTCTTGAAATATTAGTAACATATAAAACTTAGCCATACTCCCTTTGGGGCGTAAATGGATATATATTTATGCTATGTTTAAGTAAATATAGATGTGTGCAGATTATGTGTGCTCCATTAACTGTAGAACAGCTGCATTATGTTTATACTGACCTTTAAATACAACATTCCAAAGTGCTTCTCGACACCTTCGCGTGTTCCCAAATGAAGCATAGACTTAACTAAACAATCGTATTATTTCACAATACTTGAAAGTTCAACCACCAGAGTATGAATTATTTATTACGGCTATTATACTGGATATAAAACTCTATTAAAATTATCGGAAGGAGAAGTGATTTAAGTGAGCGTTTTTTGTTAACTTTCCTTTGTGGTTAGGGATATTCAGTCTTTTCAGCATCTAAAATTCTTGTATTATTTTCATACGGTTATTTACATACCAAACTCCTTAATCAACACATTTATAATTTATTACAGAAATACGTGTATGTTTAATTGTTTTATAAGTTAGTAACAATTACTTCTACATTAACACCACAGGCTGTCATGCGGGGTAAGATGGAGTTAATATAATGTAACACAGACCTACTCTTATCACCCAACTCTTACCTCTCTCCTACGATATTGGAACAAACTACTAAGCAGAGCTCACTTCCCCATCTTTTTTTTTTTTTTATAAATTCTTTATTTGTATAATTTTTCAGTTTCCTTTACACGGGTGGGGTTACAGAACGAAGAGAAAGCGTTAGGTGGTACCGTCATATATAGCAGTTTACATATAGGTTTACATTCAGTACAGTTGCATATTATGTTACAGAAGGTTTGTAAATCTGTGGCGAGTGTGCGCTTCTGTGCCTTCTCGTGCGTTAGGGCCTTTCCTCCGGCCCCATCTTTAATATGGCGCAAAATAATTTCCTTCATTCCAGGTTTGGGGAGCTCAACCCAGAAAGTCTATTCATGGCTTGCATTATACAAACAAAAAAAATGTACTGGTGGCTATATCCAGAATATACATTTCTTAAAAGTTCTGTGCAACCATTATTAATGTTATAGGTGTTCCACTCAATTCATTTTTTTCACCGTTGAAGTTACTTTCTATAGGCACCCAGACCACTTCATCTGAATGAAGTGCTCTGGGTGCAATGCCCTTTGGCTTTTTAACTCTGCAACTGAAACCATTGTTGTTAGGCAGGAATGGCAACATTTATAGGGATAACATGCCTTTAGTGGCTGTCTTCCTGCTATTCATCTAGTCAACCAGATAGCCTCATAGAGCATGTAAACTAGCCTCCCAAAGTTTCCTTAATGGGAAACATTGTATTGGCTGACATGGTCAGAAAAGGAAGACATTATGCAAAGAAAGTTAAAAAAACTGGATGAGAAAATTTCAGAAACAAAAATAGTAAATATAAAAGAGATAAGGAGGATAAAATCCATAATACGTTCTCCACTAAAAATAAGTTTGTACATAAAAGGTTGGGTACATCATTTCCATATAAGAAAAAAAGACCTTTTAAGACTTCGGTTACGAATAAAGGGAAAACTACTCCTGAAAGAAGCCACAAACCATTTGATACTTAGACAAAAGATCGGTGGGGAGCTAATAACACAAATAGGATTTCCAATAATATTTCAAAATCCCCTTTAGAAGAGAGATACATATTTGTATTCCTAACACTATAGTATTCCTGGAAGTAGATACCCAGCCCGCTGCCCGATCTTAGTTAGTAGATTACTTTTTGTTCAGCGTCTGGGGGCTTCCATACATCTGAACATTTACGCTTTTATGTTATCACAAAGCGCGCCTGTAGTGTAAGTGAAATCTTGAGCATACTCTTCCTGGACAACAATATTCTGGAATCGGGGTGTTTATATACCTGATCCCCACTAGAGAAGAGAAGATTTCATAACATCTGGATTTGTAAACATCACAACATGTTCCTAACAGATGTGCGCACATTTGGGAAAGAATCCAGCTATCAGAATGCAATGAGAGTGGTTATAATTGATTGATTTTAACAGATGCAAGAAAGAACAAAATAAGTCTTACCTATTATTTACTGGGTTTTTTTGTGGGGGTGGGGGAGGGTTGCTGCTACATGTAAATCTATAATTGTACCTAATATGAGAATTCTTTAAATGTAACAATTTAATATTACCAGTAAACAGGCATTTCTTGGTTAGTATTCTTGAAAGTCACAAAACTAACCTGTTCTCAAACAAAATTCAAGAACAAGGAAGGAAGAGGTACCAGAAAATTGTAGAATATGCTAATATAGTGTACTAAATATCTTAATTTTAGTAATGACAGGAGGTGAGTATTTTGCATTGACTTTCTTTACTTAAAACTCCAGGAGCAACAAGTCAATCAAAAAACTTTAACCAATCAGAAAACAACATTCATCACAGATATAAGGTAGGACAGCCCCCAATTCTCCCTCTTTCTTTGGTGTGAACGTAGATAGTCCCTTTTAACTGGAAACGGAAAACTGTAGAAACTTGAGCATCCTGATAACTCCGAACTGTAACGAATTGTTGAGGGAATTAGATTCTGCTTGTAGTCGATGGAAGTATTCATACTGAAAAGGAGAAAATAAGTGAAAGGTATTGGCAGTGACCATGATTCCAAATCTCACTCTTGTTTTGCCAGGTCTGAAGGAATGCATCCACTGCTTTGCAGTCTGGATCTGCTAGCCAGCTGAAGAACCTGAGCAGTTGACGATTGGTCCATGAGACAAATGAGTCGATGATGAGAGGACCCCTGCATTCATACAAACTTTGGAATATCAACTTGTGGAGGTGCCAGTCACTGCTGTCCCTCCAATGTCATGAATACCAGTCCACTGTGGATATTTGGATAGTTGGATATTCCCGGTAGGTATTCTGTCTATAACCTGATATTGCGGGAGAGATGTAAATGTCTTTTATTGCATCTGTTAGTGACTGGGATCCAGCTCCGCCCAGACGATTGATATATTGGACTGCTGAGATGTTGTCCATGGCTTTGCCATTCCAGGCTTGCCTGTGGAGAAGCCACCAACGGAGCTCCTTGCATATATCATTCATGATAGGGATCGTCTGGTCATATGAGATTCCTGATCGCAGATAGTGTGCCTTCGCAATGAGCCATGCAATGGCTGAAGAGGATCTGAGTAAATAGCCTGTATAGAAGTGGAAAGTAGTCCCACAACCTAAGCGAGGAGACGAAGTTGCATGTGATCCATATTCAGTATCTTCTGAATTTCTTTGTGCACAGTGGCTATCTCTTTGAGGGTTAGCCGAAGCATGCATGAGGTAGAGTACATTTTGAACCCCATAAATTGGGCAATTTGCCATGGTTCCAGTGCTGATTTGTCATGATATACCACGAAACCCAAGGATTCGAGGAAGTCTACCACAAAGTTTGTTTGATATCATAGTATTGAAACCGTGTCGTAATAGATTAGTATATCATCCAAATATATTATGCATCATATCCCTAGTGACCGTAGGCGAGTCATGACCGGCTTCAGCAGCTTCGTGAAGCACCATGGAGCCGAGCCCTAAGGGAGGCAGGTGAACTGGCATGCCCGGTCGTACCAACGGAATCGTAGGAATCTCCAGCATGACTGCACTACTGGTACAGGGAGGTAAGCATCCCTGAGGTCCAGTCGAGTGAACCAATCGTCTTTGCAGATCTGGAAGTAGGTGAATCCCTTCCATCTTGAAATGGTGGTATACTACCAATCAGTTGAGTTGTCCTAGGTTGATGACCGGACGTAAGTCTCCTGTTTTCTTTTGAAACCAGAAAATGTTGCTGAAGCAACCATCCTCGTCTTGTGCATATTGAATTGTGCCTTTGGTAAAGAGAGTTCAGATTTCTTTGTCAATAAGAGATGTGTTGCAACATGTACCACGGGTTACAGAAATATTATATTTGGTTTATTTTGCCTGTTTAATTGAAGTTCACTAAACTGAACCCAAAACACTGTTTTTTTTCCTTTTTACTGATATGATAATTTGCTATATGTTATTTACTGAAACTGACAATTGTAGAGAATAAACAAAAGAAAATTGCCTTGTAATTTTCCCCCAACAATTCTGTCCTATAATTTGCAATTTCTTTTTCAGTTCTTTAATATTCCATAATTCCCAGTTTTAAATAAACACACAAGAGTGAGCTAGTATTTTGGACTCTCTATATTTGGATTACCCTTCAGTTACAGTCAAGCCGCTTACATGGATTTGTTGCTATGTTTCACCAGTCATTTCTTATCTAAAACTGTAACTGTAACTCACATTGATAACAAATGTTGTCTTTATATCTTTGTATGGATTCTTTTGTATTAGAGGAATATGTTAATTGGAGGTTTGGTTAATCATTAATTGGCAAGAATTTATCATGTGATATGATTGTATCATATGGAACAATGCACACACACACACACACACACAAACACACATGCGCACACACGCACACACACACAGTACACTGTATCAGGGACAGTTAGTAGAACACAGAAATGTGCAATAATTTGCTAGTGTGAAGTAATGCAAAAATAAGAGGTCATAGCACCCACAGAAATATTACTCTTCTTCTTGAAGGACAACCCTTTTTCAGATTAATTATACTAGGGTATAAATTGCAAGGACTATTTTATTTTCTTCTTGATAAAACACAGCTTATATAGACCTACTAAAGAGAGAATTTTCCATAGTGCGATACATAAAATACGGTAAATAAAAGAAAATAAAGAAAGATGACCACTCAAACATCTGATCTACCAAAGAGGGCTCAGACTATAAGGGCTCCAGTGGTAATACACCTATCCAATTTCAGCTTCACACAGGGGCTCCAAGGTCTTTACTTTCCAGCCTAGCATCTTGTGAATTGCGAAGAAAGCAGGGATTACAGTATTCCTTTAAATCTTTGTTGGCCACACTATGGATATAAATAAACACTGAAACAAAATAAACCATCATAACATTTTAATGCTGGATCCCTGGAAATTATAGATCGTGCCATTCTACCCAACTGATTCTTCCGGCATCTTCTGACACATTACTTCCACGGATGTATTGTGCATCAGGATCATCACGCAAATGGCACCTGGAAGTATATGGGCACACTGCTTCCTGATCCCCAAACTGCCATATTTAACAAAGTATTGTAGGCAAAATAGTCCATAGTCCAGAAAAACAAATAACTAGACTAAAATAAAGGGGAAGAAAGTCTTTTTAATATTTTTATTAAATTTTTAAAAATCATTCTATATTACATCGTCCATAAAAGCATAAACATATGAAACTACATTTACTTCTTCATACTCACTATACAAAAGTATATGTAAGTACCTATATAAATAATATATTTATAGACAGTTTGGTAAGTATCAAAAATACAAATACAAAATAAGTTCATTATTCCTATTACAAATTGGTTTCTTTTTCATTAAATTCCTTTTTTTATTAAATTGTTTCCTTAAAGGTTCTGCCTATTTATCAAATGTTTCTAATTCTAGGCAATTTCGGTGTAGCCTTAAAAATTGTCTCTTAAGTATGTTACGTAACCATGATTGGAAATGACAGTTATCCACATGAATAAAACTATTGACACTGTTTCTTTAAAATAAATGCAAGTTTTAATCTGATTATTGTCCATATAAATCTCAAGATTTAAAAAATATATATTTTTACAGAGCTAATATCATAAGTTACATTAATAATACATAAATTTGTGTTTGTATTCCTAATACAACAGTTCTACCCAGAAGATATTTAGTGTATAATTTGGGAAGTACATAAACAACTGGGATTTTTAGACTCTCCACATTTAAGAAAAACTTAAATACCATTTAATTATTATTTTATTATTGATATAGCACCATAAAATTCCATAATTTTTGGGAAATCTTTGGGAGTCCCAAAAGTGACAGTTCCACTTTAAAGGACCACTATAGGCACCCAGACCACTTCAGCTCAATGAAGTGGTCTGGGTGCCAGGTCCACCTAGGATTAACCCTTTCTGCTGTAAACATAGCAGTTTCAGAGAAACTGCTATGTTTACTTTAGGGTTAATCCAGCCTCTAGTGGCTGTCTCATTGACAGCCGCTAGAGGCGCTTCCGCGCTTCTCACTGTGATTTTCACAGTGAGAAGATGCCAGCATCCATAGGAAAGCATTTAGAATGCTTTCCTATGGACTGGTTGAATGCGCACGCGGCTCTTGCCGTGCATGCGCATTCAGCCGATGACATCAGAAGAGGGAGGAGAGTCCCCATCGCCTAGGGAGCCCGGCGCTGGAGAAAGGTGAGTATTTAACCTCCTTCCTCCCCCTTCTGCCCGGTGGGAGTGGGACCCTGAGGGTGGGGGCACCCTCAGGGCACTATAGTGTCAGGAAAACAAGTTTGCTTTCCTGGCACTATAGTGGTCCTTTAAATGTTTTAATTTCTTTGAACTCTATTATGTATGCATCTCCTAGATTCTTTCTAATGTATGTAAAATGTGTCTGCCAGTTTTCATAAATAAATATTATAAATATATATTTAATTTGTATATTATTTTAGCTCATCAGTTAAAAAAAAATATTTACTTCTAGTTGTTAGATATTTCTCTGCAGGAATAATGTATATCCATATCGCGTACTGTATTGTGAAATCGTAATAACCTTTGGTCGTGTCTGTACTAGCATCAGATATCCACTGCGAACACTGAACTGTAGCATGCCAAATATTTACAAGGTTATTTGAAATGTCAGTTTAAGGGCGTGATTAGAATGGAACAGGACTACAGAATTATGACAGATTGACAGGCTTACAGGATGTGAGTCTAATGTATAGAAATCGAAGAAAATATGAAGGACAGATGATGTTTAAGGCAGTTTATTTCTATTATGAGAAAAGTGTTGCATACATTTTTACAGGTTTGGTTTCAGTGACCACGTGATAAAAAAATAAGAGGCCACTGAAGAAAATTAATTCAATTAAATTATTTAGTGTGAAAGGAGTTAGCAATGATTTAAAAAATAAAATAAAATACATAAGTAAATGTGCAAACAACATAGCATGGAGTCATCACAGTATTTTTTAGTTACATAATAATTTATGTTAAAAAAAAAATATTGGTCAATCAAGTTCAGCCTTTTACACATTTTTGTTTCTGCTGTTAATTCAAAATATGGCAAAAAGCCCAATTTGAAGTGATTTCTACTCATGCACAAAATGGGGGGTAGGGGAGAGGAATCCTTGACAGTCAGATGTTTCCTTGGATCAATTGGTTACATAATGTGCATAAAGGTTTATGTACCATTTAGTAACTGTAGCACACTGTTTTGCTGTTTACAGTGATTTGTCTCTAGTGTTTAACCCTCTGAGGTTATCCTGGAATAGCTCTTCACACATCTGTCTCAGCATTCTATAGAATGTTCTTCATGTCTTCTAGAGGATATCTTTTTGCTAAAATTCTTGAAACTTTAAGAAAAGAGCCTTTTTATGAGAGAGCCAGAACAGAATCCTCAAACATGTCACGCTGAGAAAACCCTCACAGATAAAGACTGAAGACTACATTAATGTGACAGTTTAGAAAGTCCAATTTATTTTTGGATTGGTTTTTAAATTTAGAGAAGAAAAAAAATGTAAGCACAGATTAACTTGATTTCTGTGACAGTGTGTTTGGTATAAAATGAAGGAAAAGCAAATTCCTTTACTACCAATTAAGCTATCCTCGCTGCCAAGCTAAACCTCAGATCACAAAATTTCTGTGACGACAATTATATAGTTTTGCTAAAACCAATCTGTTCATTAACTAAAAACAAATAATTAATTTCTGCTAACATTCTAGTTTTTCACAAAACAGACCTATAAATTCTAATCTGTATACAGCAGCCTGAGAGTACCAGAATTAAGCATGGGTTTATAAATTGCATTAATCAGTTACCTGTGAGATTGTGTTGGGGGCGAAGTGTATCGTCACTCATATTATCTGTTTTATTAGCTTTTTATGGAGATTGTAGATTTGTGTCCAGGGGTCTGTTATAATATATAGTTATATATTTTTATTTTTTTTTTAAATCTTTATTTTTGACTTCAGCTCACAAACACAGTAGTACAACAACATGTGAGTGCATTGAAAATATTAGATGCAGAGCATGAGAGTAGGCAATAGACAGGGCAGCATTTGGCCTATGAGGTCATGAGCTGAATAATTTTTTATAAGATGGAGTGCATTTATTTTATAGTGCTGAGAGCATCCAGACTTAGTATCCTATGTGTTTGTGTTGCTGTAGTCACTTGTGCACTCTGTGGGCTGTGATGTGGCGTTGACTATGGGATATTTATATTTTTATACAATTATCAGTTCTTAGTGAAATGTTTTAAGTAAAGTAAGATACAGAATTCAGTTGGGTTTGGTAGGAACTTGCAACAAAAACAGAGCATATGAGAACTCGTTGAACGTCAAAAGTTTAGAGTAGGTCTGTCCAACTCATGGCCCGGAACCGCTAGTAATGCGGCCCTGTTGCCATTGGGCTGCCAGGCAGCAAGGCATGCAGTGAGCCCTTTACATACTGTGCTACTCTTGCACAGCTCCCTCACTGCACTGAGCCGGCAGCCAGGATATGACGTCATCTCGGCATCGGCATTACTACTGGATGCGAGAGGAACCTGTGCAGGAAGATCACAGAGATCCTAGCCAGCAGGGACCAAGCATCCCCTCCAGAGCAAGGTACGGAGGCTAGGTGGACCTCTTAAATATGAAATGTGTATGAATGTGATTTTTATGTATGTATGTCAGTGATTGTGTGTGTGTCTGTGATTGTGTGTATGTATGTTTATTTGTGTATGTCAGTGATTGTGTGTGTGATTGTGTGTATGCATGTTTGTGTATGTCTCTATGTTTGTGTATGTCTGTGATTTTGTGTGTGTGTGTGTATCTATGATTATGTGTTTGTATGTAAGTGATTATGTATATAGGTCTGTGATTGTGTGTGTATAGGTTTGTGATTGTGTGTGTGTGTGGGTCTGTGATTGTATGTGTGTGGGATTATGTATGTGTGTATGTATGTGTGTGTGTATATCTGTGTATGTGTAAATATGTACACATAAGGATACAAAATAAGAGAGATCTACAAAACAATTGAAATATCAAAATTAAGAAAAGGGCTTTTACCGTTTTATTACTTATATACATTAACTATATTCTATATTTGATGAATGGCTCAAGACCATTCCTCTTTGCTCAATGCAGCCCAGGGAAGCCAAAAGGTTGGACACCCATGCTTTGAGACCTCAGTATCTTGCCCTTCAGTTTGTCCCCGCTCAAGTATCAAAAATGTTTTTGCTCACTTATGCATTTATTCGATTTACATATCAGACTGATCCCACCCAGAAGGGCAATTGAGATCTGAAATAATAATAATAATAATAATAATAATAATAACAACAATAACAACAACAAAGTATTTAAACAGGAAAGGTACATTCAGATTACTCTGGATTCCAAGTAAATGATTGAAAGTTCCCCCTGCACAAGAGATACAACAACCTAAGACAATCATTTCCATCTTCTCTGGGCCTTATCAGCGAGGTGTAGCTGAGACTCTCTAGGTACAATGAGCATGTGGTTCATGTCTGCACTACCCTTTTAACTTATGGAGAGTATATGTAAATGCTCTGCAACAAAAACAGAGAATCTGAAAACTTACAGGGAGTGCAGAATTATTAGGCAAATGAGTATTTTGACCACATCATCCTCTTTATGCATGTTGTCTTACTCCAAGCTGTATAGGCTTGAAAGCCTACTACCAATTAAGCATATTAGGTGATGTGCATCTCTGTAATGAGAAGGGTGTGGTCTAATGACATCAACACCCTATATCAGGTGTGCATAATTATTAGGCAACTTCCTTTCCTTTGGCAAAATGGGTCAAAAGAAGGACTTGACAGGCTCAGAAAAGTCAAAAATAGTGAGATATCTTGCAGAGGGATGCAGCACTCTTAAAATTGCAAAGCTTCTGAAGCGTGATCATCGAACAATCAAGCTTTCATTCAAAATAGTCAACAGGGTCGCAAGAAGCGTGTGGAAAAACCAAGGCGCAAAATAACTGCCTATGAACTGAGAAAAGTCAAGCGTGCAGCTGCCACGATGCCACTTGCCACCAGTTTGGCCATATTTCAGAGCTGCAACATCACTGGAGTGCCCAAAAGCACAAGGTGTGCAATACTCAGAGACATGGCCAAGGTAAGAAAGGCTGAAAGATGATCACCACTGAACAAGACACACAAGCTGAAACGTCAAGACTGGGCCAAGAAATATCTCAAGACTGATTTTTCTAAGGTTTTATGGACTGATGAAATGAGAGTGAGTCTTGATGGGCCAGATGGATGGGCCCGTGGCTGGATTGGTAAAGGCAGAGAGCTCCA